CGTTATTTTCGCTGTTTCAAATATGCTGCCACAATTTCAGTGGTTTAAAATACGGTCCGAAATTCAAACCTCTACATCGGGGACTAGCAGGATGAGCGATAGACTGCCGATAGAGTTCTCTTCGATATAATTATCTACGATAACTTATTGCGCCCCCCAACTAATAGGTTTTTATGTAAGTAATTCGCTAGCTGCACATTGTCACTTTTTCTGCATAGTAGGATACCTGATGTGTGATATTTGCCTGGCCCGGAGAGGTTTAAGGTATTAAAATTGCCCCCCTACAGACGCAATAGCGTCATTGCATTGGGCTGCGAAGCATTTAAGGTGGACCGGAAAATCTGAATAAGGAGCTGCGAATAAGGAGCCAACTTCAGCGTCGTAGCAAAACACAGGTCTCAGATCGGCGACTGCTAGACAGCCACTGAGAGTGATGTAAGTAAATCGGCACACTGTACTGTACACGTGAAACATTGAAATATGTCGACATACCACCAGTAACAAAGGATCTATCTCATACAACAAAACGTGAAGTTTTTTAGTACTCATTCTAAACCCAGACGTTATTTTCGGTCCTTTATCTGAAAACCATTCAGTTTTCTCATAGGCATGTTCAAAAATCTCTCTATTGTCTCCACCCCCCAGTCCAGTCTGAAAAGATGTGGAATATTAAAATGGAAAATCAATATTAAACCCGAAGTCAGTCAGGGGAAAATTCTGTAAGCAGAACTCCTACATAGTATGTGTGACTATCATAATCACCATGAGCAGCCTTTACCGTAATACTAAGCATAATTGAAATCTATTTGGTTTGTTTGGCCATATAGATTTTCTCATTGATTTTTTAAATTTAAATAACTTAGATGTGTTAAACATTTATTTTATTTTATACATTATTATTATTGTTATCATTATTATAATATGAAAACAGACCTGATTTTGCTGATCTGTGGCAAGAATTTGAATATCATGTTCTTGACGGCTTCACCAAGATGTTTAAATTCTTGATCCACGTGCAAATATAGTTGTATCTTCTCTGGACTCTGCTTCATTATTGTCCCTGCTTCTTCAAACACAGCTTCATCTTCGTGCTCATTCACTTTAAGGTGCAGATCATTTCCACTGAGTATGGATGATGATTTTCTTGCGAGGCCTCATTAAAAAAAAAAAAAAAAAAAACAGCATGGGTTAATTGTAAAAACATACTCTATAAGCCTTTATAAGTTTTGTAGTTATATCACAGACATATTATTGACATATTACAGACATATTATTGTGGCATAGTGATCTCCATGGGTGCGAAAACATCCAACTGTAAGAGAATAGCACCACTCAGAGGTACATTGACCATCACACAAGACCCTTACTGGATGAAAAACCTAGATCACATGCACATGCCATACCGCTGAACAAAAATCAACTTGCAGCAGCTGCACAAAGAGTGTCTCTCAGGGTGGAAGTGAGCTGGAAGCATGGCGATTCATAGGAATGTTAACGTTAAGCAGGCAGCACATTGTCAAGATGGCGAGCAGTGTGTGTTGGTGGTGGGGTATG